GCCACTTTAAAAGAAAATGTTTTTTGTAAAAAATGTACTAGAAGCTGAAGAACAAACTCTGGTGAATTTTTCAGACGATAGCACACTGAAATAGGATCAAAAAACTTAAGTTTTAAAAATTGATTTACTTGATGATGTATATAAGCCAAAATATGCATAAGACTCATGTGTAATCCTAGCTTAGTGGTAAAGGTGATGGTAACAATGATCACCTTTTGGAGTCGTGAGTTCGAATCCCATACGCTTTTTCCACCCTGTCTGCAACTTTTTTAGCTTTTTATTCCAATTTGATCTCTATTTGTGTTTTATAATTTATTTCTATTATTATATGCATTAAATATATTGTTTTATTTATGCTCTTATTTATTTAAATTTTTCCCGCAAAAAAGTTTGAAAATTATATAATACTAATTTAAAGCATATCCTGTACATATATATTCGAATTTAACAAACATTCTCTATTCGTAAAAAGCAAATTTAGAGTGAATTAAATTTAAATGAAATTTAATGCAAATAAAGAAATGACTAATTATTGCTGCGAACTAATCTACAATATCATTTAAATTCTGAGAGCATATGTAAATCAAGTGCAAGTATCAAAATCCATGAATAAATATATAATTCCAAAAATTTATTAATCCTAAAAAATTTATAAAAATGCATAAGTGAACAATGGGATAGATTATTAATCCTAAAAAATTTATAAAAATGCATAAGTGAATAATAGGATACATTATTCCTAAAAAAATTATAAAAATGCATAAGTGAATAATAGGATAGCTTATTAATCCTAAAAAATTTATAAAAATGCATAAATGAATAATAGGATAGATTTAATCCTAAAAAATTTATAAAAATGCATAAGTGAATAATAGGATAAAATTAATTTTTGGAATTATATATTTATTCATGGATTTTGATACTTGCACTTGATTTACATATGCTCTCAGAATTTAAATGATATTGTATACTAGTTCGCAGCAATAATTAATCCTTTATTTGTTTGCATTAAATTTCATTTAAATTTAATTAACTTTTAATTTGCTTTTTACGAATAGAAAATGTTTGTTAAATTCAAATTTTATTCCTTGCAGCAATGGCGCAAGAGAATTATTTAAATTTAATTTATTTTGAAACCTTGCAGATATATATATACATACTTTCATTTCACTTTTATATGAATGTATATACATGTGCTCAGACTTTGGGATGTTTACGACTCTAAACTTTCATTACAATTAACATGAGACAGTATTAATGCCCTAAACATTTTTTTAACAAAAAATTACTATAATAATTGCTTTTAAATCCAGTCCTCTCCAGCAGAAGCGCAGGAATTAATTAAATATTTCCATTTTCTTTATCTAATGTGTGTATATATAGAGAAAAATCTTATTTTTATAACTTCTTTTATAAAAAGAGATATGAATTAAAAATGTTTAAATTAAAAATAATATTTTATGGATTATGCATAAAATATAACTGCCCATAGTGCATTTTAAAACAAACGAGATTTCTAATAAATTATCCAGCTATGACCCTGAAGTCAGCGGTATACAAGCATAGCAAATTTTGCGTAAATATCGTGAACCTTTCTTTACAGTTGCTCTGTACTTTTAAAGTACCAACTATTTTTAATCCCTTTAACTTTTTTATTTTATTTATTTATTTGTTTACTTTTTCACTAACAGTACATTTTAGTTTTAATAATATATATATTATTTCATAATATTTAAGGCTTCTAGAAACACAATTTTTTTTAAAAATTTACTTAAGCTTCTATGGAATTAGTGATGTTCATAATATGCATTATAACCTTACTTATGTAAAAATTGCTAGCATACTTTACTTTCGCAGTTCATAAGCAGAAATAAAAATTTCCAATAACATGGAATTTAGTAAACAAAACTTTTCTGCGTTTTACGTCAGGATCCATATCAAATCCAAAACAAACAATACTCGCTTAAGCGGGAAAAATTCAGATATTCAGCGTCTTAATTCGCGAACTGCTTGTTTGGCGCCAAAATATTACAGTGACACCTAGTGGTGGAAAACGAAAATATTTTACGAATACGCAGCAGTGGAAACGCTTGTACAGATGCCGTAGGCGTGTCTTCAATTGACGCAACGCGTTCGTACGCAGTAGTGGAAACAAGCCTTTAGATTAAATTTTTCGTGCATTAACACTTCATCTGGTGCACTTGATCTGCTAGGCACACCTCAAGCTCTTTTGTTTGCCCCACCTCCTTCAAACATCGCCACTCCTCCATCCAGTTAGCTTCCCTTGTTCTAGTGTCACTAGCTAAGGTCAAGTCAGCGAATACATTTCTTCATTTCCAGTGGACAGATGAAATGATCTAATAGGCTCATTGCACACGATTACATTGCAATTTGACAAGTAAGTTTGTTATTTTTTAATATTGTATCATTGTTTGGTTAGCAATTTGGTATAATAAAATATTTTACGATTATATACAAAATTGAGTATGTTTTGGGGCTCTGGCGTTTTAAGCACATTGCGCCAGATCATGTCATGAATCATGTTTTAATAATTTAAAATATTGCTTATTACAAAATTTGAGAAAGATATTTTCATAACATTATAAATTTTTGTCTGGTTAAGGCTTCAAAATGCCAAAAAAAGTTTCTTTTTTAGAAACCCTCAAGACCTTGAAGAGATTCACCCTTTATTGGAGGTGTCAGAAGATGATGAGGAAGTTAAAGATTTTTGTGTCGAAAGTGATATTGATTCAGAAGATGGTGTAGAGGAACATAAAGAGGGATCAGAGACAGAACAAGAAAACTGAAGAAGATGACATTGAACAAAATACTAATTTTTATTTAGGGAAAGATCAATTCACTAAATGGTATCAGAATCTCTAGCAACACAAGGTTCAAAGGAGATGTCATAACATCACTACTCACTTGCCTGGAGTTATTGGATTAGCAAATTCAGAGAAAACTCCTGCTGAATGCTAGAATTTTATGTTTACAGATGATATATTCTGAATGATGTAGTGGAGTAATACCAATCAGTATATCGATATCGTCACAGGATTATTTTCCAGAGAAAAAGACGTAAAACATACAGATTTGGTTGAAATAAGAGCATTTATAAGATTACTCTAGTTAGCTTGTGTTACAAGGTGAATAAACTATCCCTCGAAGGAACTATGGGGAACAGATGACGATGGCATCACAAAGTTTAGCCTCAGTAAATAAGCATCGAGAGATTCAAGTTTCTTATGCAATGTCTCTGTTTTGATGACCATGAAACAAGCTGCACAAGAAAAGAACTGGATCAACTCGCTCTAATACGAGATATGTTTGAAAAATTGTAAAATACTGTCAAGGGAGCTACTGCATTGGTGAAAATGTGGCGGTATATAAAATGTTGTCTGCTTTCTGTGGTAAATGTCTTTTTCAACAATGCATCTCATCTAAACAGAGTAAATATGGAATCAAAATTTTTTTTTCTTGTAGTTGCTAAAATCTTCTACTCTTTCAATATTGATTCTGGAAGAAACATAAAGGGCAATAACTAGTTTACTCAGGTGAGTCTTCTGAATGAAATAAAACAGAAAAAACTACCGTACATTGGCATGATCAGGAAAAACCGAGAAGAGCTACCCAAAGAATTCATTGCTGCCAAAGCCAGACCACAACACTTCAGTAATTTTGGCTTTAGTAGAGATGGTAATGTTTTGGTGTCCTTCATTTCAAGAAAACACAAAAATGTCCTTGTATTATCATTGCATGATGACCAAGCTATTGATTTTTCTATTGGTGAAAAAAAAGAAACAAAAAACAATCAGTTTCTACAATGAACTTAATAGCTATTGTAAAAAGAATGATTAGTTTGTATATGTCTCACAATGTAAAACAGTGGCCCATGACACTCTTTTTTACAATGTTAAACATCGCTTCAATAAATACTCATTTCCTACATATAGGTAATGGGTACAGAGCTATTAACGGAAGAATGTTCATAAAACAGTCTAATGAACATGTGCTTGGACAACTTGCTCAATTAAGTCTGAGGTTTACTGGAATGCCATTATTATTACAACAAAATTAGAGACACACTTCCAACCAAGAAGTACGTTCTGTGGCTTGTCAAAATTATGACAATCCACAGATACTTCCAAAAAGACGCAACTGTGAAACATATCAGTTGGAGACTTGCAAGAGAAGATTTAGCCAATATGAGTGCAAAAAGTGTCACACAACTACCTGCCTCTCACATGCTGTTTTTATGTGTCTTCCATGCTATAAAAGAGAAGTAGAAGGACAAATATCTCCTAATGAATCAGATGAAAAACAGATATTACTATGTTCTAGTTTTAATTAAATTTTAATCAATGATTAGTCTTGTACAACAACTTTATAAAAACTATTTTACAAAATTTGTGTAATATAAATATAAGTTTCCTTTTAAGATGACAAGAATTGTTTTATTGCCCCTTTAAGTATTTTAATAACTTGCGGAAGTTTGATAATAATGCACAGCATTTGATTTTTGTAAGAAATATCTTTTTATATATAAAAAATTAAAAAGTGCCACTCAGGCTCAACATGCACGAAAGTGTTCTGAAACATGTTGCGGCAGACGAAGCATTAAAATTAAACAATGGAATCCTTCAAAATATAATGCATAACCTATTTCAAGTCCTATGTTTTGCAAGAGGAGCATTTTTTTACAGCTAAATAATTTCAAAGATAAAGCAGATAATACAGCTGTATATAATATACATGATACTTTATAGGTACAATCTATACTGTAGTCTGCAGGCTATGTGGTCATAAAACTCTGTATGCCAGTTTACATTATAAGCACCCATGTAAATTAATGCAATTAGTTTGTTGGGAAAAAAATTGCCTTATAGAGCAAAATTTTACAATGTCTACAAAAAACAAGTTATTACATTTTATCAGATGTTCATATAAATGGAGTTTTACTATTGTACTTTTTTCCTTAAATATAATAATATGACACCCACCTGTCTTGAATAGTTCCTTTTATTGCAAAACTACCATCATACAGTATCTCCCTCTCATCAGTTTCAGGATTCTTCTCTACAGTTATACGACGCATTTCGTGAGACAGAGCACGGATGTTGGCACAAACAGCACGGCCAAGTTCACGGGCTCCATCTAGAAGAAGAAACAACACAGCACGTCGTATTCTTAAACAGACACGAGATAATCTTAAAAGCAAAGCAGTGGCATCTTCAAGTCCTTCTTCTGAACATGTTTTCGATGTCAAAACCTAAAGTGAATAGAGCAAATCATTAAAATTTTTCTTATATTTACTATGTAAAAAAATAAAGTATTGCATGTAAATGCTGCAACATTCCTTACTTATTGTCCTATAATATAATGAAGGCAAGATATTTTGTTTCTAAAAGGTTCACTGCAATGCTAATACACACTTTACTACTCTAAGAATACTGTAACACTACAAGATTATTGTTTCCAGAAAGGTCTTATAAAAGTCTAACAGGTTTTGGAAATAATCTTCACATGAAAGTTTGTTAAAATAATTTTCAAATTTAAATTTAAAAAAAAACTTTTGTTACATATTTTATTACAAAATATTAATTCAGTGATCTCCTAGTAAATTTTTTTCTGAAGTCAAGTAAAAGAAATTCCATTGATTTTCATTAAGTATGCCTTTGTTTTCATTATACATTTGCAATTCACAGTTGCAAACAGACAAGACTTAATAAAATTTTAGAATAAACCAGTCACAACTTTAATTCTTCATTTCTTTCACTTGCATGATTCTAAAAAAATGGAATAATGGACAGAAGACATATTAACTTTGACCAAACACAAAGAGTTATCTGCCTTAGGCAGAGTGGAGGACCTAGCGAGAGTTTACATTATGCACAAAAGAGAACAAAATATCTGTACAACCAAGATGTTCTCGCTAGAATCGTACTCGATTCTAAGCTATGGATAAAGCTAAACATTTTATGGCCTTTTGCAGATTTCATCACATATACCTCGAAATAATGAAATGTAGACACTAAATTACATTTCTGTGCACTATTTCATTTACATAAATTCAAACTTTTGCAAGGTATTTTAAAATGTGACTGGAAAAACTGCATGAGCAATTTGAAGGTTGTTTCCTCAATAAGATTTACCTACATACAAAAATCTCTTAGAACTGATTGCACCAACAGTGCAATATTTTAAACAACAGTGCTTTAAACAACACTTGCTGAATCATAATTTAGTATGATTAATATATACAAACTTCTACTTTTCCCTCTGAGTCACCACCTCATTGATGACTGGTTTTACGTGGAAGGCAACTGCCATTCTGAAAATGGGGGTACACTAACAATCCCATAAAAGAGCAACGAATCAAATTAAAAAAAGCAAGAAACATCCATAATAAACACTTATTCTAAAAAAATATGCAAGTAAATTTTTTGTACTCTTGTTCTTTCCATGTATACATAACGGTCTCTTTTCACTTAACTGCATGCCTGGTTACTTCGAGATAAATTGATTATCAAAAGTTTTTCAAAAATAATTATTTTCAATAATAATTTCGATAACTGAAGAAAAGCTATGGATATTTTTGCATTCTCTTTTGTTCGCGAAATTGTTATACTTTTGAAGAAATGCAGTGCTTTCTTTTCAACCAGCTGCAAACTCCACAGTCTTCCTAAAATTTCTGTCAAAGAAAAAAATGTACTCAATGCAAAAACAAACACCAATCAGAAAAATGACTGTTGAATATGGCATAGGAAACACATGCCCATCTGCTGCAATAACACAAATAATTATTCATAATCACACTATCACTTGTCGAATAGTTGGCAGGCTAGGAATTCTACGTTAAATAGTGTTCTTCAGGAGTGCAAGAAAAAATGTTTTCACCTGTTGCATATTATAATGATTTCTGAGATGATACTGAAAGCTGGTAAAAGATTGCAAACTCTTTGCTCAGCTTCCACAATGAAAAACTACATTTCAGATCATCTACTACCCTTTCCTCATAAGGTTGTCAGGTTTCAACACTCACACTTCTGGCCCACCAGCAGTAAAGTTACTGAATACTGGTAGTTCAGTCCAGGGATAATCTGCTAGCTGCATGGGTCTCCCTCCATGCATAACATGTATTGGAGTCAGTTTCTCTTAGAAAGTTTTTCACGAAGGCATCTATACCCTTCAGAACATAAGCCCTTAAATGCTTACCCATAAATGAAATAAACCACATCAAACTAACTAACTTCACACCTCTCTTACTTTCTATGACTTATGATCACTATAAAGACTGTGTAAGAAAAAACAGACTCAAAACTTAGGTTAAATAATATGCCAGTAATGCAAACATACTTTAAAGAATACATAGATCTGCTGATTGATGAAAATGCATACTACTACTAATGGGGTTTATAGCTGTTTCTGAGAGATTGAGATAACTGCAGCACCATTTTTATGGTAGACTGCGAAGTTTTAAGAAAAGCTTGCTTCATTAAACATTAAAAAAAAAGTTCTCAAAGTGGGTTTAAGTTTTCTTCTTTTTTTTTTTTTTTTAATGTGAAAGGATACATGCATTTTCCTATAATTACAAATTCATTCAGTAATTTCCAAAATCTTCCGAGTTGTGACGCCTTTTTTCAATTAAAATGTTTTCATGATGCTACCCTAAGTAAAAGTATAACTAACAGTAAGTAAGAGATAAAAATAAATAAAACTTGTGTATCTTCACTACTTAAAATTCTGCCAATTCCATGGAGCTAAATTTTGCTTTTAAAGTGCTGTAGCAAGATTACTTTGACAAGAATCTCTTCTTCCACAGACATAAATTCAAATGCAGCACTAGTGTTAAATGGATCTTAATCTATGTTATACTATCAACATGACTTTAAATGAAAATATTTCTCAAGCCAGATAACTAGCTGTGACGAGTGTCCTTTAAACATACTTTTTGTAGCTTGTGAAAGACCAAATTCAGCTGATGTGAAAAATTGCTGAAATATTAAAAAACTTCACCTGCATGTTCATTCAATTTTCTTCTCCATAGTTTCAGTTTTTGTATAAACGCTGATATTTTTTCTGTTGACTTAAAAAGGTGCATGTTTTGTTACCACCACAGAGACATATTAAGGGACTTCAGCTTCCAAAATCTCACATAAATATGCCAACTTTATTTTAAAAAATCCGACCAGCAATATTTTATCCTTTAAAGGAAAATAAAAATTTATTAATGAGATTGGATAAATTTATCACATTCACCTGATTCAGTGCAGGACTCGGATGCTTTGATGCAGGTGCTTCTCTGTGAATTATGCAATTGGTCGACACTGTATTTGGTGATTTGCTTCAAATAAGTACCTGCAATCCTCCATAGCAGCCAGACATCAGTAGAGACACAAAAATACTTAAACCAATTCAAATTATTTTCAGATATGAATGTGTCAAGAAGCTCGACCAGCTCTTGAGGCTTCACTCCTGCAGTGATACTTTTATAAAACATAGTTGCCTTTTTTATTACTTATAAACCATATATAGCATATCAACTCATCTAACCTCATCTAGCCACAACCCAAATTTTACTCCCTTAGACTTTTTCAATAATTGATCATTGATATCCTAAACCATATAATCACACTTCAACTAATTGTTATTGAACAAAGGCTTTTCTAGAGCAGCTTCACCAACTATGATGTTCAACATATCTACAGCAGCCAGTAGAATAAGTTCTGTGATGGTAAGAGACTTCTTGCATTTTGCAATTCTGTGAATGACATTGTAAGATGCTAGCAAAGCATTGTTTAGTATCGACACAGTCATAAAAAATGCATATTTTTGTAGTTTCAGTTCTTTTAATCACCTGGCAAAAAAATCAAGATGTTTGCGAATGAAACTAGAAATATATGTCATCATATGTACCACATTTTTGTTTCTTCACAGTCATGCCTCTGTCTGAAGACATTCTTTATTTGCATTACCATGTTTTATTACTGTTAAAAAATTGGTCCATCATCAAAGATACAAGAGCAAAAAATCACAAAACTATTTATCAAAAACAACAAATAAGAAGTAATACAACAGGCATTAATTTATGTCACTGTATACTCTCATGAATTGCTGAATTTAGTTTCACTAAATTTAGATTATAAAACAATGACTGAATAGAGCTGACTGACACCTTGCTTACATGCTTTTGCAAGTGCTTCCAGAACAATCGAAATCTCATGTGAAGGGTACATACACAGAAAATGTCTATACTACTGGTTAACTTCACTTGAGAATACTGGATACAGTAGAAAGTATATGTGGCTGCCACAGAATTAAGTTCTACCATTTCGAGATGTCCCATAGACTCCAACCTTCAGCAAACCTTGTCAGTAGTCAACGCGCGAACGACATTTTTACAACTTTGAAAATGTGCGCGTAGCGTATGCTGTAATTAACCATTCATTAATTTTAAATTAATAATTAATTGTAATCAATTTTTTACATTTAAAATCCATATCATATAAAACTGAAACATTAAAAAATATACCTTGTAAATTATATGCACATTTAATTAGAAATTTTCTTTTAACTCCTCAAGCATTCACTAATAAAAAAGTACTTCAAATCACTACTAATCATAGAAAAAATCAGAAGCTATAAAATATATATCTATTCTGGATATGATTCTACAGGGAAATAAAATTTAAATAACCAAGAATGATACACATAAGTATTAAACAAAATACGCAGAATTATGAATGCAAAGATTTATATGTAGCATGCTTAGCAAGCTTAAGTTCTGATTTTGAGAATGTTTTTTTATAACACAGTTCTTCATTTGCCTGCATATTTATTTTTTCAATCAAAACTGCTTCAAGAGTTTTAAGACCTAAATTTGGTCGAAATTCCGTCTGATTTTTTTTAACAATAGAAAAAATTCTTTCGAAGCTGCATTTGAATGAGGTATTATTAAGACAGCAAACATTACAGAAGGCATACTTTGTATTTAATACACCCATCAATTTTTTAATTTGGCAATTCTCCCCATGCTATATCAATACGCAAATCTACAATTTCTTTCAAATCATCTACTTGATACATGGAAAATTCAATTTCTACTTGATTAAGACATTTTTCATCAATAATGGATGGAAAAGTATTCATCAAGTAAAGAACAGATGAAAATGAGACTTCAGTTCTCAAGGTGATGTCAGCAACTTCAGCATGTTTTAGAATGGATCACTCAGTGGAAATTTATCAATTATACATGAACATGCAGTTAACAAAAAAGCTCGCACAGAATTGAAAAAATGATTTCACTTCACTTTCATTCAACTTGGCATTTTTTAAATATAGTCTTGTTTCCGCACCAATCACTAAATTTTCATTTTCTTTTTGTTTACTATACTTCTGAAAGGGAATAGACGTTAGAGTAACATCTTCATTTTCTTTAGAATTACTGATGGTTTTACGAATCTAACAAAAATTCATAAAAGTTCAAAAAGTCTCTTCTCAATTTATGTATATAAGGAGCTTGGTGTTGCAAATTAATATTTACTGTTATAACAAAGGCAAAGTATTTTTTCAAAAATAACAAGTACAATTGGTGGTCAGTGACTGTAAAATTTTTTAATGTTTTGCAATCTCTTCATTCTCACTGTTATCTGGTTTATCTCCAAAAAAATTTATCACAGCATCCCACTGTTCCAAAATCCTGTTATAGATTCTAAAGAGACAACCATCTTGTACTGCAATATTTCAAAATTTAATGAGATTTCGCATTCTGTCCCAAAATTTGTTGAGCAACTTTGAAGCCATGCTTCCGTTTTGAACTTTTCTCCAAGTAAAAATATATATCTATTATCAACATTTCAATTTCTGAGCCAATTAATTTTTCAGTAGCTTTTTTTGCAGCTATATGCAAGAGGTGGCACGGACAACCTCGGGTGATTATACTTGGTTGATGCATTTTGATAAATGATGCTACACTTAAACTTTCCAATCATATTACTAGCATATCTGAAGAAAATGATAGCAATTTTTCATTCTAAACCTTTGTTTTTAAAGTTTTCATTATACAATAAAAATACCTTTTCCTGTATTATTCGTGCATCTAAAATAGAAACCAATGAAGTAATTATCACTCCCTTTTCTTACTGTAGTATGTTATAACCAATGGGTACAGTTTGTTATCATTGTTATCATTACTTCCATCAGTACTTAGAGAAAATGATGTACTGCACACTGATTTTATCATATCAGCAACAGTATTTTCTACAAGCGTTTTCACAATAGCAGCAGTTTTGGTATGACCGCAGCTAAATTTTTTTGCTATGGCAGAATCCGGAAACATTGCTTTGAAAAGCTCTTTGGAATGATCCGAAACAGAAAGCGGTAGATTATGTTCAATTAAAAAATGAACAAAAGAGCATTCGGCTTTTATAGGATCTGTTTCATCATCTTTAGTAAGAAATTTGTTATTTCTTTAGATTTTAACGGTGCCAAGTTCTATATGCTTTTGAGAAAACACATGCCGTTTATAGTCATCTTTTCCGCCATGAGCAACTGAGAAGTCTTTGTTGCATACACTGCAGTGTGCATGATTCACAGAAATTTCGGACGCTTTAATGCATGGGAATTCTGAAGAATGTTAATCTTTAAACTTCTGCTTTGATAAATTTGGCTTCTTCGTTCGAGGCAGCATTATGATTAAAAATCTTTCACCTGATTCACAGTTCACAAGACACACGCTAAGCTCTCGCCGTAAATTACACAATGCAGCCGAATGCAGCCTAAACACGCATCAGCGAGGAACCTGGGAGACAGACAATTGGGTGGAACTATTGATAAGTCGTTAACGGTTGGAGTTACTGATCTACGATTGGCTAATTCTTCAAAACTAGGAACGCACTCAACACGTGATATATGATAACACAAGTATTCAGCCAATTATCGGATGAATTAGTTGGTTCCGTTTTGCGTACTGGTTCTCCTGCTCGTTTCTGTAAAATCCGTAGTTTTTTCCATAGTTTTCGTAGCTCGTAGTTTTTCATGAATTTCCGTAGAAACTACGGAGAATCCGTAGTAGTTGGAGTCTATGGATGTCTTATTATAAAAATTATACTACAAAATAGAATTGTTGAATAAAGAGAATGGAATGGGAAAAATGTGTGAAACAATTAATTACATTGTATCTTGTTTTTTATTTAAATATCTATTTATACTGTGTCAAGCATTTGATGACCAATAGGAAGGCATCCCTTTTATTGGCAAAACTTGAAATTGCAGCAGCTCCGATATCACTTTACTCTCAATGAGAAAAGCAAAGCATTCATTGCAAGAGGGAAGACAAAAAGCAATTGTCATAGCATCTGCTTCATCTTTGACAAATGTGTACAATTTCAAAACCTCATAAGCGACTGGCAAACCACTACACAGTTCTTCCAATATTATACTTACGAATGTTTTTGTCATATTAAGGCAGCATTTTCCTAATCAACCCAGTAACAAAATTATCACTTTAATTAAGTGTTGTTTTCTGTGACAAGCATAAATCACATGAAATGAAAATGGTGTACTTTCAAATTCCCCCCTTTGAAAGTTAGTTTATGTAAACCAAAATCCAACTACATTATCAGCTAACTTTAGCAACAATACAAAGAAAAGTTCACAGTTTCTTTTCAGGAAGAGAGCTGTAAAAAGATTTTTCAAGCTTTGTACATGTTGCCGTGAGGAGGCCCAGCCTGTATTTGCAAGAATATTTCACTGCTGACTATACTTTTACACAGAGTCAAGTAAAAATAAACCACACAGTGAAAGGCCACTGCACACAGTTTGGGAACCACTGATTTAGAATTATAAATTATTGATAGTCATATATGCCTACTTTTATTGCACAGAATAGGTATACATCTGTGCGGCATAAGTAGGTACAATATGTACATATGGGCCACAAGCTAAAAAATTTGGAAAATACTGTCGTATAGGAGTTACCTTCTTCTTCTTTTTTTTTTTTTTTTTTTTTTTTTTTTTTTGTGTGTGTGTGTGTGGTGTGTGTGTTTGTCATTTCCCCTCAATGAATTCTGTTTCATGAAACTGAAGGACATTAACAAAAACCAAAAATTCTTGCTTTCGGTCTTAGGGTGTTTTTTCCAATTTAAACTTGATTTAAATGTCTCAAATCTACAAATGTCAACATTCAAATAAAATACATAAGAAAATAAACATACGTCCACAGCTAATTTCAGATATTTTCTCAAACCAGTATCCCCTTTGGCTAGAACAGAAGATCCAAAAAGAGGATGATCTTCATGGGCATCAAGAGTAAAAACTGAATGCTCACCTAAAATAAGAAAAAAAAAAAAAAAAGGAAACATTAAATATTTCAGCAGACATATTAGTTCATAAGGTAATCAAACCTTTACATGGAAATCTAATTTTTGACATATTCTTGAAACCAAATTTTTTTAAATGTGATTTTTAATTCAATATTTTTTAAGTTATTATAACTAAACAAAATAAGAATACCTTAATAAAGAAAGAGTTTGCTGCAAATTACTTTGCTGTATTTGAAAAATAATGATCACAGTCATATACATAAAAATCTTAAATTAATCTGTATCATACTTATAAAAATGAATTCTAAATAATGTTACACGAGACACCACTTTCAGATATCATATTCTAACATCAGAAACACTTTCAAGTTTAATTATGATATATCAACTACACATGTTAAATTGGTTTGGAAAAAATATAGCTGATTCTACACAATACAAATATAAGGATATCCGAGCAGGGGTGAAGGAGCTATAGAAAGCTGAAAAGCAAAATTTTGCCTGAAATAATACTTTTTCACAGATTCTATATTTGATGCTATTTCTACAGATTTTATTTTTTAAAACCCGAAAATACAAGATTGATACCATCTGAGAAATATGCCCAAAGCAGTGAAGAAATATTCTCTCATCCAGTTGGCCCACCAGCGGCCGAGCGGTAAAAGTCGCTGAACACTAGTAGTTCAGTCCAAGGTTCAAATCCTGCGAGTGGGCTGGCTGCATGGGTCTTTTTGTGGTTTTCCCCATGTGTAACATGTATATGAGCCAGTTTCCCTTATAAAGTCCCCCACGAAGGCATCCCTCCCCTTAGGCAGATAGCCCTAGTGTGCTTTGCCATAATTAAATACACCACACCTCTCATCCAGTTTCTGTGCCTAATGGAAAATTTTTCAGCATGGACCCAGGACCTTATTCAATCATATAGCTTGATAATAAAACATGGGGACAAAAAAGTTTGTATAAAAAACATTTATGCTACCTTATTAATAAAAGTATTGTTTAATGAATAAAATTTAAAATTTATCTTAATCTCCTTTTTTTATTATACTACTATGCAGCAGATTGCATCATCAATATTTTGACAAGCAACATTTTAATTTCAAAGAAAGTCAAAATTTGAAATCTATATAATTTATTGCTTGGAAGTACTGATATTATCTTAGAGCAGTAATCAAAGATGTTTACTATTTTAAATATACAAATTCCATTCAAAGCAACAGTGAAATTTGATTCCAGAAGACAAATATTGTTTATTTAAGCTTTGATAGAAGATGTAATAAGTCATGAATAAATTAAGCATTAATTTACACCATTAATAAGCATTTAATTTGCAAACTAGTAATGCTTGCAAAAGGATGTACATTGACTTCAAGAATTTCACAAAGGAATACAGAAATCAGTGTAATAACTGAACGCTATTACAAAAGCAGTTTCCCACTCATATCAGATTTTAATTTTTTTAGTAAAATAAAGAAGCAAATATTGTTCCTTTTTAAGACAACTGCATCCTAAAAAATTGCTTTGAATACAATCATTACTTGACTGACTGAAATAGCATTAAATAGTTAACAGTCTTTTACAGCTTTCAACAAAGGGCATTGATAATCACAATATTTACACTGCATAACAGTAAGTTTAAAATTTTTTTGGATATGTTACCTAATGTTAATTTGCAATGGGTGATGAAGAGTGGGTATGATTTGAGAACCTTAAAATGTTGGGACCGGCACTGGAATTTTCATTTGGCTGGCGTTGGTCCATGGGACCAACAGTATTAACATTCACAACCACGAGCTTTGTCACAAACAGACAGGGCTAGTATGCCAGTAGCTGAGAAAGCTCACTCACAGAAAAGCTCTACTTAGTGCATGAAGTCACGGATCACCCTGCAACATTGCACCGCTTAATCACTTGCTGGTGCTAGCTTGCTGAACAGAAAGGACAGCAAATTCGGCATAGGGTTCAATGTGTTAAATGCATCAGTCCAAAGCGAAAGCGAAACATTTTTAAAAAAAAGTAGGAGAAAGATAGCAAGTGATAAGGCACTTATTCAGAATTTTACCATAAAAGAACAATATATCAAAAACAGGGTTTGTACACATTTCTGCACACAGAAATTAAGTACTTTTAAGGACAATTAATGAAAAAATTAAGGACCTATGAGCAAATGGGAACTGAATAAATTCAATTAAAAATACTATTCTATGATTCAATTTCACTTTTGTAATACCATCCTAAAAATAAAATAGATCCCTGAGTAGTATGCATTATAACTAAACATGAATTAATTAACATAATGATTAATAAGTTTGAGAATAAAATAAACTTTATACAATTTATCAAGTAGGATTAAATATTTTACACTTATAATAGTAGGACATATTTGAAAGAAGATAAATTTTACTTACGTTTTACTAATAGTTAGCTTTATGTTGATTTTTTTATGTCTCATTTTGTTACATACTTAGTCAGTCTAGAGGTTTAGTAAATAGCAGGTAGATTTTATGTCAAACGGTACAGGTTAAAATGAGAGGTAAGATCATAATCAGCATGATTCATAACAAAAGACTGAATGTTGTCACTGCTGTTGCTTGTTTAGAGAGAGACCTGCTCATTAGAACAAACCTGAAAGGTCTGATGTAGACACAGTTCACAAGTGTTGAAACTTAGTCAGGCTCTGTTTGATGCAGTTGTGTCATAGCTTTGTGTAGAGTTCCAAGGGATTGTAGAACAGTTAATATACTTTAAAGTTCCAGAGATGATACGTTGTTTTGTGTTATTTTTAAGTTTCACTAGATGCAAAGAATAAGTTTTACTTGAATTTTTAAATTTTTGTGCTTTATCTTGTGCCCACAGTAAGTGTTAGTGAAAGGCAATAACTCGCTTTAATATGTAGAGATAACTTTTAAGGGTAAGCAATTAGTTATATATAATTAAATTAGGTAAATAGATAACCTTAGTCATTATGGATTTACATGGCCACTATTAAATTTTATTTTTTAATAATATTTCTTAAAAAAAGCCTATTAAAATCAAAAACTAATAAAATTTCACAGTTTAAAATACATGTAATTTATGACATTGATTCTTAAACGATATCAGATACACATTAAAAGCTACATGTTTTGTAACAACACTCAACAAAATATTTATCCTTCATTTTAATTTGAAGCCTTTCCAAGCATTTTGGCTAGTTTATATTGATTTCCTTCTCTTTAATCATCTTTTCTAACAATTAGATAGTTGTCTCAATATGCAAACCAATGCTCTCGCTAGTTTCTGCGTGCTTATCTTCTAACTTGTCAACATCTCCACAAGGTACCTATGAGGGTTTACTTGATCTGGTAAAAGTTAAATAGTCCCAAACCCCTGACTGAATCATACACTGAAAGGCTGAAATTATAAACAATTGGATAAGTTACATAATAATATCTTTGAGGAGTAATTTTCTTTATGTATTCAGTTTCTTTCTTCAACACGGTTCCATTTCATTTTAGAATTTTGGGATCTAATTATTTCTGTTAATTTAAAAAACACTAAATGCATTTAGAATGTATAGAAAAAGTGGCTAATTCTATTTCTTTAGTTATATGAACATTCAGAAGAAATATGAAATATATATGGTAAAGCCCGGGTACAAAGCTGACGTGGCAGAAATTTTAGAATTTAATGACACACCGAACAACAAAATCTAGAAATAGCAAAACGTTTAGAATTTAGGATCCACAGAGATTGCATCAGGTGGGAAAATGCCTAGTGCCAGATCTGTGTATGCTGAATTAAGGCATATTAGGTGAATCTTTTAAATTGTAAGTTTTCAATTTCTTTATAAATAAAAAATCTCCTTCTGTAATACCTGCCCATGTGATAAGATTAGAAGCATTTTTGATATTTTCCATGAAAGTGAAAATTTCTAGTGAAAAGTAGAGAAAATAAAGGGAAGATAAAGATGTTAAGAAAAAGATTCGAGTATCAGAGTAGTAAAACATTTAAATATTATGTTTTCATTGTTCTTCTAGACGTTCTCTAAAAAGTAAGAAATTCATCGCAAACTTTCTGTAAAATACATCCAATACGCGTTCGATACCATGGAGACATTTTTCATTTTGTTCACATATTTCTCGAATCTTCTAGAATCGTGAGTCTATAAATCTTCGACTTCAAATCCTTCTAAACTTTCCAAGCTGCAATGTCTAAAATACTAAAGAAAAATTATCCCTACCAATTATGTAACAGCAAAAAGTCAGAAATATTTTGAAAAAAAAAGGAGGGGGGAAAAGTGTAAAATTAATTTTATAGAGAAAAGTGATGCATATTCTGAGAATTTTGAATATTCTGAGACAATTGCATGGGAAAAACACTTAGTATGAAAAAATTAAAAAGAAGACATTTTTAATTAATAGCATAGCTAATTTTGCTCTTGCTAAGAGCTGTTTCGTAAATTATGCTTTAGAGCATTATACCTTATTTATCACATTCATAATATTGTATAAGTTGCCAAAATGAAACTTTATAATATGACAGCGAAAAATAGAATGTTTTATTTTAATGTTATTTTTTATATATAATTTCAATATATTACCATTATTTTAATAAAATTTATTAATGTTATGATGCTTTAAAAAACTGGTCGAAAAATTGTCAGATCTCAGAATTAAAAATTTTCTATAGAAACTGATCCTAAAATCGCCAAAATGTTGACAAGTCGCCAAATTTAGAGCTGTTTAATAAAAGAATTCACATCCCCAAATGCGAAAAGTTGTTCAAGAGTTCTTTATTAGAAAAAAGAAATTGCAAAATGCTTATGTTTCACTTCTTGCTTAGAAACTCGAGTATTCCATCATTCTTAATAGACATAGAAACAAATTATAACCCATAAACCCATTCAAAAGATAACCATATATGTCAGTGAATCGCCAAAAATATTCCTCCAAAATGCTAATTCACACTCAAAATGGCAGTCATAAAAACAGACAGAGATTTCAGATGATTAAAGTTAAGGACC